CAAGTAATTCAGGCTCTTCCACCCCAGTGTGAACTCTTGGTGTTTCACTCACTGAGGCCCAGCAGAGAGCCTGACATCCAGGATAAAAAAATTACTAAATGAGTGTAGGGTTTTCTTCTGTCCTTCAACGTTGATTTCATTAGACTAATACATGTGCAAGGCTGAAAAAATTCCTATGACCTAAAAGGATACACAGTGAAAATTACACTTCTGGCTTCATCCTATTCATAATTCTTCCAAATTCCCTCCCTGGGCAAGGTGAGTGTTACGAGTCTCAAGAGTGTTATAGAAAGAGATTCCATTGCATCAGGTGGTATTGACCACACATTCTATCTGCATCTTTGGTATCAATTTAACAAATATTCTGACATTATTCCATTTTTAAAATATAAATGTTGTTCAGGTCAAGATACTGATAGTAACTATTCTGCACTCCTGGGGCATTATTGTAGTTGGAGAAGAGAGAGCTGGGCCCCAGGGGGCAGCACAGGGAGACTGGAGACTGTTACCCTCCTCATCTTTCTACATGAGGTCTGACCTCGGGGAGTGTGTGGGTCACCAGGTGTTAGATTTGGGAGCCTTGGTTTGTTCACTTCCTTCTTGTTCCTTTTACAGACAGTTCCCTCGACATTCCAGCCAGGATGAGAATCACTGCTGCTGTCTCTTCCTCCTCCTCCTCCTGTCTGATGGCACGGGGTGTGCGGGCTGAGATCTAGAGGAGAAGCTCCTCAGGAAAGGAGCGCAGGGTCATTGCCAAGGGCTCCATCTAAAATCTCTGCTGCCCCAGCCTGGCCTGGACAGCCAGCCTGAGGCAACTGACCCCAGGTCCCTCGTGTCTATTCCCCTAGTGATTCCAATATATATAGCCCAGCACTTCCCATATAATATTTGTTTCAAGCAAGTTATTAGGTCCAGATATGTTCCAAAAGCATATATTACACATGAGTGAGATACTAGAGGAAGGAACAGTGGGAACAAATGTAGAGTCTGCTAACCACAGGGTGACTTTTGGAACCATCTGACCTCATGGCCTCTCACGGGGCTGAGGCTAGGAGTGTAGAGACTAGAATAAATAGCTCAAGTTCACAGGATTTTGGTGCTCATTCCACAGCAATTCAGAGCAAAACTATGTTCCTGAAAAACTGACCCAGCTTTCCAAATTATTTGGGATTAAAAGAGAGTATTGTGTAGACAGAAACACAAAGGTAGGAAATGAAAAGAAAGGCAGCAGTGCTGAGTTAGCGCTGTCTCACTGCCATTGGCCGTGACCCTTCCCGTTTCTGCAAGAACCTCAGGGTGAATCAAGTGGTTGTGTGAGGGCATCCCCCTCCACCATCCTGTAAGTCTCTGAGGAGACTTACCCCCAAGATACAACATTGTCTTTAATGTTCTGTCTTGGCTGATCTTGGGAGGCTTTTTCAGAGGCTCCACTTGGCCTTACTCACTAAAAGCTTTTACCTCAAAGGTCATAGAACCAACATGAGGATTCTGGCCAACTCTACGTATGTCCCCTCCAATGACATATTTGGAAACTGAGGAAATTCCCACCAAGTGGACGTGTGGAGACAGAGAACCCACTGAGATAAGGGTGGACCTAAGACAGGACTTGAGTTATGTCCTCCTGTTCCCCAAAAGCAGGAAATTCCCACCAAGTGGACGTGTGGAGACAGAGAACCCACTGAGATAAGGGTGGACCTAAGACAGGACTTGAGTTATGTCCTCCTGTTCCCCAAAAGCTTCTCCTCTAATGGGGGTTCATGGTGGTACTTTGGTTCCCAGGTATCAGTGTCCAATTGAACTCTGTGTACAGTAGACATAAAGGGACCAAGATATTCCTTTGTACAGTGAATGGAAATCTTAAAAATGGCCATCGGTCCCTACATGGAAGGACGTGGGGAATTCCTACCGCATACAGTGGCCATGTATTGCAGGGTATTTCCTCAAGGGACTTCGGCTAACTTCAGCCAGTGTGTTCTGGGTCTGAGAATTGGCTCAGGTCTTGAAAGTGGATAACAGATGGTAACTTTCTATCAGGGAACTCATCTCAGCCTAAAATTCATTATTCTTATCTATTATACTTCACAGCACTCTTCTTGGCTATCCATCCACTTTGCCCCCAGAAACACTAGGATATATTAAGCATTTAGAAAGCTCTTGTAGTCTGAATCTGCTGCTTCCATTTTAATATTGTTGGTTATTTAGGGATTTAGTCCTGGTTTCTGTCTTGCTGTCACCTGTCCTCTGACTTCTGGGACCTTATTATCCCCGTAGTTGCTGTAATATTAGCTCCTAGAGTCAGTCCCCGCCTACAAAGGACAGACACCTTGAGGTTACTATTCTGCTCACTTGCTCAGTCCTATTGCCTGAGAAAGTTTCCTTTAGGAAACAGTCTCCTGGGTTTTTTTCAGTTTCACTTTATGCTGGCATGTCCACTCCCTTGAGCTTTTTCATGTCTTTCTGTTCAGCCACCATTGTGGTTCTCCCAACTCTGCTTCATGTGATGTGGGGCCAGAACTTTTTGTTAAAACAGCTTTATTGAGATATAATTCACATATCTCATTCAACCATTGGAAAGAATTGATTTTAGCATATTCACAGAGAGGTGTGACCATACCCACAGTCATTTTTGGAACATTTTCATCCCCCAGAGCATTTTTCTGTCTCTCACAAATGATAATCTCCCCTCCACCCCACAGCCACCTATCTCCACAGCACACACAATGATGTTTGTCTCCTCAGAGAAGATGATCCTATGCTTATGGGTCCTCTATCCCAACCTACTGTGAATCTACCTCAGATCTGCTCTATAATCCTTGAGTTGGGTTTCAAGCCAGCACTAGGATTACTAGATCTAAGGGCAGAGAGAGGGAGCAGGCTGCGGAGAAGACAGAAATCCAGCAAGAATTAAAGGAAGATGGGAAACTTTGGGGTCCCTCCTCTTTGCTAATTCCAGAATCTGGCTCCTTAAAAACAAGGGGGAAAGAATCAAGAAAACAGCCGCAGAAGGAAGGCAAGGGCTGGATGAAGCTGAGAATTTATCTCTTGATACCACTGACAGCCTGTGTACAGGGCCCCCTAGGACTTGTGGGGACAATGACAGGGAAAAAGACTCCTTCTGGTGTCAGATATGGGGGACACCCAGAGCAGAATGAGGCCAGAACTCTACACATGAAAAAGAACAGTCATAATTCAAAAACAAAAACAAACAAACAAACAAACAAACAAACAAAACAAAAAAAACAAAAACGAAAGAAGCAAAATTTAAACACACAAAAAAGACAGGGCCCGGGGGCAGGACCCAGCCTGAGCCTGGGCTGACCTGGTCACAGGAAGCCCTCACTGCCCACGGTCCTGGAAACAGGACAAAGCCCAGGTGCTGTCTGAGCCCCTGTGATCACAGGTCCTGGTGGGACAAGGTTCTACTGAAGAGACAAAGACAAAGGGGCAGAGAAGGTGACCCAGCCCAGCAGTGACCATGTCAAAGCCCACAAGGCATTGAGCACTGACTGGGCACAGGCCCCATCCACACTCACCACCTCAGCCTTCTGTCCCACCTACGACAGACTCAGCACAGCAAACATGAAGATTCTGGAAAGCCTTCAGTGGTTCCATTTATTTCCTCTCTCAATCTTTAGGAATCCTCACCTTTACTATCCCTTCAAAACCCTTGCACTGATTAGAAAAAATAAGTTCATATCCAGATTCATTCTCATTAGGAAAGTAAGATACTATTACTAAGTTACAACACAAAGATAAGATGGGATGACCCAGCCCTGCCTCTGCTGGAAAAGGAAAGTCAACCAGGGAAGAGAACACAGGTCAGGGTGGGGAGGGGTGTAGGGGGCAGGGGTGGGCCAGTCTCCCCACCTCCTCACATTGTGCTAATAGGAGCACAGACACATCCAGGTGCAGCTGCAGAAAGAAGAGTCAGGGGATCTGAAGTCACAAAGTGGGACTCACTCAGTCCCCCACAAGGCAGCTGTCTTACACTGTGAAAGAAAAGAATCATGAGCCAGTTCAGGTCAGTCATGGAAGTGCTGACATTCTCAACAGCCCCCCATATGCCCAAAATGTCCCACTCAGAGAATCCCCACGCCCAGGGCATCCCCTCTGCCCCAACCCGTCTCCCAGTCAAGGCCCTCCAGGGTCTCACCCCTGGGATCCGTGAGAGAAACATCAGAGCCCTGGGCACTGTCACTGCCTAGGGGAGAACAAAACCAGGACGTGGTCAGAACGCACAGGAGAGAAACTAGAGAATAAAGTCTGAGGGGTGTGAGCTTCCCTGATGGCCTCCTGGCCCCACCATCACAAGGGTCTCAGGAACCACACTCACTTCATACTTACTTGCAGCCTGAGCATAGCTCCCTCCTTTTTCACCTGTCAGAAGAAAACATCTTGTGTGAGGCCAGGGAAGAAGACTGTGTCATGAGAGGAACCCCTTGTCCTGGACCACAGAGAACTT